GGAGGATACATTTTGTTTGTGAATTGCATTGCATGATAAATTGTGTGATCATGGAATTGTGAAAAAGTTTACATTTTTTATTGGACTTCTAAGTTGTTGCTTGTGTATGCCTATGTGCTTGAGTGACAAAATATGCCACTAGGAGTTGGTTGTGTTTATGAGAATCTGGATATCAGGACACTTGCTATATTTCATTTTGTGCACACAAGCCTTGTGGTAAGATAGTGGTTTAACACAAGTAGCTCGAGGAATCTCCTGCTAGAGCCTTCTTTAGAGAGAATTAGTGAGGATTGAGAGTTATCACATATTAAAAATGTAATAAGTGTTCATTGATTGTGTGAATTGGAAACTTCTTCTGAGAATGACATTACACGGTATGTGGTAAGACGGTGGTTTGTACTTGAGAAATGATAACAGTCAATTTAGGATTGAATTTGAGCCTTCAGACTAGTTCTTTTCCATAATTATAATCCCCTAGTACTTTGAGCCAATACACATACATAACCATTTCTTTTCATGTGTCTAAGTTATCCATACCTCCTTACACTGGATTAAAGTCTATAAATAGTCATTTTTCCACCTTTATGCTTCCAAGTGTATAGTAGGTATTAAATGTCCATTTGAGAAGAAAAGTAATGAGAAAAGTGATAAGAGATGATAAGTGCTCGGGTAATGCAAAAAAAAAAAAAAGCGAGAAAAGGAAAAAGGAAAGAAAAAAAATTTGAAAGAAAAAAAAATTTGAAAAAAAAAAGAAAAAAAAAGAGTGGATTGTTGTTGGGAATTGAAAGGTTAAGGAATGTGTTGATGTGAAGGATTGCTATGTTGAATTACTTGTTGAGATGCCTAACTAGATACTTGGAAGTCCTTAAATTCTTTTCACCCTACTTTTCATATAACCCAGCTTAACCCCTTTCACACCCTTTGCATTGACTGTTTTGATCTCAAGTCGGTTTGTGGTAAGAAGTTGATGAATTCTCATTTGAAAGTATGCCTATCATGTGATCAATGTCTGCTTGTTGCTAATTATTAAAGCCTCCATGTTCGGAGTGTGCATCTTTCCCAGCTCCATAGAGAGAAATCCCGCACTAAACACTTTAATATTCGTGAGTTATGGGGCTGGACCTTTAGCTAGAGATGCACTCGATGTTGCATGTGTTAGGGTTGGTGGTAAGATGGCTATGGCTTGACACACACATACACATTTAGCAAGTGTTTTTGATATCTTGATGATCATAACATTGTTAATTTCTAGTGGTGTTGAGTTTGAAAAGAGAATGAACTACTGTAGAATTAGAACTTAACAATTTCACTTGTAACATGGACCAATCACTCATTTGCTTTACTTTGCATTAAATTGCTAGGGACTAGCAATAAACAAGTTGGGGGTGTGATAAGAGTGTAAAATACCATATTTTCCCCTCTTAACTATTGCATTCATGTGATTATATTATGCCAAAATGCACTCATTACTCTTATATTTTGGTTTAGGTTGCATTTTGGTGAAAAAGACGAAATTTGGAAGAAACAAGTGAAAAATGACGAAAGTAGAAGAGAACGAAAGTTCGAGGACTAAAGTGCAAATGATCCAAACTTGTGTCCAAGATTATGATGAAGAGTCGAAAGTGTTAGAGGTCAAGTGGATGAGGAACGAAGTCAAAGGGATGAAATAACATCAAAGTTTGATCAATACATCAATTTCCAATCGAAAACCAATGACCAGTTTTTAGTCTCATGTTGGGACCCATTTTTGACATGGAAGATGATCGAATTGGGAGATGACTTCTGAATAAAAATTGTGGCACTTTGAGTTAGCTATCCAATGCAACTTGAATCACCTCAATTGGACATTGAAAAAGAAAGTTATGATTAAAACACTGAAAACTGTCTGGCGGAACCATGCGGCCGCATGCCTTTATACTATGCGGTCGCACACACCTATATCGAGAATTGAAGAGGCTGAAAGTGCATAACCATGCGACCGCAATGACAATAACCATGTGGTCGCATAGTGTTTTTTTGGCGGCCAAATCTCAGTTTTCTTATACGATTGAATCTCTTATGGTAACCTAATTTTCACGGGATATAAATGCCCAAAACCACCCAGAACGAAGGGAGACGCCCCCAGACCTATTTCTTTCATCTTGGTGCTCAAGAAACTCCATGGAAAACTAAGGAACTCGGTGAAGCAACGAAGGAACTCATTGGATTTGGAGATTTCACGTCATAATTTCATGTAATTCGGACTCTCTTTGCTTAATAATTTCTAGATTTGGATTTTCTCGTTATGAATTAGTATTGAAATTTGTTTAACTTTTAATAAATTTCTCATGGATTCAGTCATGCTTTTTCCATTGTTAAATTAAACTATTTGTTGAGTTTCAATTTAAATTACTTATTGTTGAGATTATTTTAACTTTTATCAAATCCTTCATAGATCTAGCCATGCTCTTTCTATCGAATGATTGAAATAATTGTTGAATTTTAATCTTAATATCACTTTATTGGCGGATTGATTACTGCCTTATGCCTGACGTATATGGTCGATTTTTGATCTTGTTCCAATAAAAATGTGCGAATGTGTTATAGAAAATCTAGATTCTAGAAACATAATTGGAATAAAATTGGACTTCACTGTTAAATCTTTCAATTAGAGAGTTTGGAAGAAAACCTCTAATTGAGTAAAAATACATGAATTATTGATGTTGATTGATCCAATCCAATGGGGAACTCCAACGCTTCACTAATTCGCATATTGATAATTAATTTTTATTTCAAGTGACAAATCATTCCCTTATTTAATTACGAAAACCCTAGTTTGTTTGATCTTTTGAGAATTTTTCCATCTCCCTGTGGATACGACACCCCAAAGTTGTACTATAATCACCGCGTTATTCTTTGGGTATAATCAGTCCCATATAACCAAGATAACTTTCCCACTGCATAAGAGCCAAAATAAATACCCAGGAGGTCAAGCAGCATTTTTAACAGAATCAACCCAGCCGAGCTAAGGAGTAGGCAACAGTAACAGCCTCTTGAGCCTCAAGCGAGGTCACAGCCCCTACCTCCAAT